ACAGGCGCCCGCACCTGCGGGTGGCCAGGGCCGCAGTCCGCGCGAGGGTGCAGACGCCGCGCCGCGGGGGCCTGGCCAAGGCTGGGGACCCGAACCCCTCGGTGCTCGGCGTCGCGCTGTGGCAAGCAGGCGCTCCCGTAGAGCGGGAGCGCTGGGCTGCGAGGCCCCGCAGGCCTGGTACGCAGTGGGCGCCAACACTTAAGTTCTAGTTCAGAGAATGAGTCAGTCTGCCCTTCAAAGCTCTGCTCGAAGCCACCGCCTCCAGGCAGCCTTCCGGGTCTCCCCAGTTTAGTCACGCATCGCCCACCCGAGGCGCGGGCCCTCCCCAAGCCTGGCTCCCGCCCTGCCACACAGTAGGCCCGCACACAGTCTGGGGAAAGGATGGCGCGCGGGACAGACCGGCGTCCTCGGGGTGCCTCGGGGTCCTGCTCGCGGCAGTACTCCCACTTTCCCACGCAAAATCTCGTGTTCTTTGCCCGGGATCCCGGCCTTCAGAGGCGGGCGCTAGGACCCCACGGAGCCAGTTCCGGAGTGGCCCCGAACTCCCATTCCCAGAGTGCCCTGGTTTATTTGCATCGTCCTGTCCCGGGTGACGTCAGCTGAGTGAGGCCGCGCCTCGACCAATGGGTAGCCTCAGGGTGTTAGGACCTGGCCATATAAGGTAAACAAAGCTGGCTGCCCAATGAGGCGGCGACGGGGGCGGGCGCTGGGTCAGGGCAGGCGGGGGCGCGTCACGTGGCGAGCGGGGGCGGGGCGTTGCGGGCTGTGTTTACAGCCCCGCACATGTGGCTTCCGGTTGACGTCGCGGGTTGGCGAGTGGGGCCCGGCCTGGCTCTGAGCTGGCCGGGGTAGCGAGGTGGGGTTGCTCCCGCTCTGAGTGACCTTGGCCCGATTCTTTGTGCTTCCTGGCCCCATATCCATTCGTTGAGCCATTATTTGTTGGGCCCTTCCTCTGTGTCTGGCCCTGACCTGGTCCGGGGCTACAGGAGAGCAAAGCCGGGGTAGGGGGCTGTGCCCACGGCTGGGGGAGCGAATGTCAGGAATCCTAAGGACAAATGTAGCACTGCAAATACGGAAAGTGCCCTAAGGAAGCAGGCACAGATCTGGGGATGGGTTAAGGGCCATCGAAGTGTTTTAAGAGATCTGATCCCTAGTTCGCATTAGGGTCACTGTGGCTGTGGTAATGTGGGGACCAGATAGTGATGAAGTCCAGTACGAATCAGGTGATGTTCTGGGTGTGCCTGGCTCCAGGGAAGGGTGCCCCTCCCTGCGGAATTGGATTGAAAGGAGGGACCAGCCCCAAGGTTGGGCTACCTGGATGGGCCTTCATCCCTGCTTGGGGCTTTCCCATGGGGTGGCAGGAGGAGAATAATGGAGTAACTGGTGGACAGGGCTGAAACATCCTGGGTTTGGGAGGGTGGGGGTGGAAAGGCGATGGCACCGTGATAGCTCAGAGGGTTGAGGAGGGAAGGGAGTCAGGGAGCAGTGGAATCCACCTCTGAGGGCTGGAGCTGGGAGCTTGGGCCATGGGCAGGGAGAGGTCACTGAGTGTCAGGTACCTTAGCCCTGGCAGAAGCCACCTGACCCCGGGAAATACTGTTTAAGCCTTTTTCCTGCCCGGGAGGGCATCACTCAGGGGCTTTTTTCTTTGCAAACCCCGATGGTGCCAAGAGATTTTTGCTCTTGGTGAGAATCACCCCTTACCTTTGCAAAGCATCATACTTGTGAATTAACGTGGGTAAAGTGCTCAGCACAGGCTACGCACACAATAAAGGCAGCTTGGAATATGGTGACTGCTAAAATTATTATCGTTGGAACTGCAACACAGCATGGTAGAAGGTGGGGAAGTTCTAGGGTCAGACAGACCTGGTTGTCAGTCTTAATGGTTTACTGACTGGTGTTGAGCAAGTTACTTTATCCCTGAGTTTCGGTTCCTCACCTGCGGAGCTCTGAGCTCTCCCAGAGCTGCTGTGGGGCTTATGCTTCTGAAATGCGTGGGCCTCAGTGTACCAGTTCCAGCACTCTCTGACCCCTTTGACCCCTCTGGGCCACTCTGGGGAGCCCAATCCTCATTTTACAAATAAAGGAACTGAGGTTGGAATCCTCTGATGTTCAGAACCTGAGGAGAACAGGTACCTGGTGGGCCAGCAGGGTGTGTTTCTGGTAAGGGAGGGTGGGTACTGTCCTGGCAGGGCCCACTGAGGACTTTTCTTGTTCAGGGAGGCAGGAAGTGCCTTTACCCCTCCTCCCACCCTCATCCAGGTACCACTCAGATACCTGCCCAGGCTTGCCCAGATACCTGCCCTGAAGGAGCTGTCCCAGGCCAGTAGGCTGGCAGGGGCAAAGGTCACCTTGCTGGTCTCCTGTGCCTCACCCCCCTCAGCCGGCTTGTTTTTCCAGGGGCAACAGGGAAGGAAAAAAAACAACTTTGTTTTCAGTCAAGATGAACCTGGCTGAAGAGTGGACTTTGGATTTCTTGCTGGATGGGATGGGACCTGACAGTAAATGGGGGGAGGGGAGGAGAAGGCATTTCCCTGAGGGCCAGAGAGGTTGAGGGCTTTGCCAGAGTTCACATGGTCAGTTGGTGGCATGCCCTGGCCTCCTCCTCCTCACTCCCACCCTTCCACCGACGTGTTTATGAAACACCCACTGGGGAACACAAAAATTGGCCAGGATCCTGTCCCCTCAGGAGGCTTGAGAGGAAGTCTAGACTTGAGAGACTCAGACCAGGAAGCCATGAGCTGTCCCCTGGGTCTGTCTTTATGTTTCAAAGAATCTAGTATTGACTGAGGGGCCTCCAGATCTGTCCCCCACCTTGCTCCTGACCTCTGATTCTATACTCTCCCCCTCCCTTGATTCTAGCCCACTGGCCTTTGATCTCTTGGACCATACTCAGTTCTCTCCTGCCTCAGTGTTTTTGCTCGTGTGCTCACCCCCATGTAGAACCTGGAGCAGCCTGACCCCTCCTCACACTTTGCCTGGTTGGTTATTAGTTGTATTTCAACTCCTGCCTTAACTCTCACCTCCTCAAAGAAGCCTTCCCTGACTCCTCTATCAATATTATTTCTCTATTATTTCATAGCTCCTCAATCCAGTCCCCCAGAGCACCCACCACATTTTGAAATTATATACTTGTTAACCTTTTTAGGGTCTGTTTCCTCGCTACCCTGCAGACCTGGTGTCTAGCTTGTTCCACCATTTGATGCCTGTTCCCTGGTTCATCACCTGCAAATATTTATCACCTGTCACATAGCAGCTGTGTGATAAATATTTGCTGAACAAATAAATGAATCACCCGAGATGTTAGTGGAACTTGGACCAAATCAGGGAGGGCCTGTCTTCTACCTGGGTGTGTATAAACAGAAAAATATTGCTGGAGGGGCTTTGAGGATACCTCGAGTCCAATGCTCTTTTAAGAAGAATAATTAATCAAATATCCAGCAGGTGAAAACAACTGCCCTGGTCCAGGCTCCAAAAGATGTGCTCTTAGTGCTGTTTTTCCGTGGGAACCACAGGAACCTCTGGACTCTCCCTCCCTCTCCACAAACCGTGAGGGCAGTAAATTGAATGTGGTATTGTACGTGTGTCCATGTACCTGTGTTATGTGACTCAGTGGAAAGAAATGTAAGGGAAGAGAGATCACACTGATTAGGAATGTCCTCAGGCCCATCCTTCCAGGGGCAAGAAACTTGAAATCTGGCACATTGGAGCATGTCTCTGGGGAAGCCAGAAAGTGCTGAGGTAAGAGCAGTGGCCTAGTTCAGATTCCAGCTGTACCACTTATCCGCTATGCAATCTGAGTGAGATACTTCCCTTCTCTGAGCCTCACTTCCTTCTTCTTTAAGATGTGAGTGAAGATAGAACCTGTATCAGAGAATTAAATGAGAGAGTATGTGCAAAGCCCTCAGCGTAATGACATGACAGTGCTCAGTAAATGTGGATCTTGGTTGGGGGCAGGGAGACTTAATCAGGCTCCCCCAAGACCTGGGCTCTCCTCATAATCTCGCAAGTCCCTGATCTACCTTATTCATTTGGCTTCCCAATGGCAAGGTTGGATCCTGGATTCTGGCCCCTGAAAAGGTGTAGAATATATTTTAACGTGGACTGTGGTGAATTTACCATCAGAGGCTCTTGGCCTGCCGCTGCCCTCCCTAGCCACTTTCTTGGTACAGCAGGCTTGACTTGAGAAATCACTCTTCTCGGAATCCCAGTTCCTCAACTGAAACGTAGGTAAAAACCAACCTCTGCTTGGGCCCTGCTTACGGAGTTGTGTGTGAGTCAAGAGCCAGGAAATACTTTGCAAACTGCGAGGTTTTAATCTTGACCTTAATTCTTGCAAACTTGTCTTCAGCACATTGTATGCAGCCTTCCCTCCTTTGTGCCTCAGTTTCCCTGTGTGTAAAATGGGGAGCGGTCTACTGCCTTCCACGGCAATTTGTAAAATGTCTTCAATGCAATTGCCCTGGACGTGGCGCCGGAGAGAGGCCTTGAGTGCTGGCTGGCAAAGGCTAAAAGCAGGTGTCTGGCTTCTTCTGTGCGCACTGCTTCAGGTGAGCCTGGGTTCCGCCCCCCTCTTTCGGGGCGGCAGGTGAGTGTGTGCCCTCTGCTGGTCCGGGCAGGGGGCAAACCCTGGTAAGTGGGGGGGGGGGGCGACCACAGTGGCTCAGGGAGATATTTCAGAACGGGGGTAGGTGGAAGGCGTTGGGGCCCTAGAACTGTCTATATATGGACAGATTATGAAGAGACTAAGGCGTTAAGATGTTAGTGCTGCGCTTGGAACGCGGAGGGAAGGACAATTTGCGGTGCGGCTGCTGGCTCCTTCCCCCGGATTTAGGTCCATTTGGTTCCTCTCGGAGTGGAATCAACGCGTCAGGGCCTGGGCGGGGAGCATCCTGGGAAATGTAGTTCCGCGGCAGGCTCCCCGCACCGCACCTGGCGCCCTCGGCAGCCAGGGGACTCCATTTCCCGGCGTGCCCCGGGCCCCGGGGGCGGAGGGCTGCCGCGGCGTCCGGCCCGGGCCGAGCCGGGGGTAGGGGATCGGAGCCCAGGCGCCGCCGCGGCCGTGGACCAGAGTCCGTGTGGTCCGGGTCATGTCCGCGTGAGGGCACCGCCGCCACCTCCCGCGTCCCGGCCCAAGCCCGGCAGCGCCGCGCACTATGGGCTCCATCCTGAGCCGCCGCATCGCGGGGGTGGAGGACATCGACATCCAGGCGAACTCGGCCTACCGCTACCCCCCGAAGTCTGGTGAGCGCCCGGCCGCGGCCCCCCAGGCGCGGACAGCGAGGCGCGGGCTGGAACGCGGGCCCGGGCGGCAGGCGCGGGGGCGAGACGGGGCGCGCCCGCGCGGGGCATTCGGCAGCGGAGGTTGGGGCGTTGGGGGCGGGGGCGCCCTGCTCGGTCCCCTCCTTGCCACGTTCCTTTCCGGAAGCTCCGCGCTGCCCCTCGGCCCGAGCCGGAGGCGTGGCTGCGGACCCTGGACCGACTGGCCTGAGCCGTACCCGGCTCTGCCACTTCCCGGCTGGGTGACCTTGGGCTAGTCACTTCGCCCCCCTGTGCCTGGGCTCCCTCCTCTGCACACCGGGGTGACTGGTGTTTGAAACTCCTGGGACGGCGAGGTGCTTAGTCCTGGTGCTTCGCTTGTGCTTGGAAAGCGTTCACCGTCACAAGGATTGACCTCTCCACTATGGCCGGTTTCTGCTTTCTTTGGTGGCTTGGTGTGAAGACCGGACACTTACCATCCCATTGGGACAGAGGCTTAACTCTCCCAGTGTGTGGGTGAGGGGAGTGGGGCTGGGCCCAAGAAGATGATTATAACTGATGGAGAGGGACTGGGGTCCTTGCTGGGAGGACAGGGCCTGGAGCCAAGCTGGAGAACAGGAGATGGCTGGAGAGGATCTACTGGATTTTCTGGTCTCTGTTTTAGGACTGAGGTACTGGAGCCACCAGGGAGGAAGTGACTTTCTCAAGTCTCTAAGCTGGATAGAAGCACAGCTGGCACCAGGACCAGGTGTGGGGCTCCTGGAGAAGCCCTGTTCCCATCTGTTCTCCTATCTCTCTTCATGAGCTGGCCTGTCTGGAAACTTTTAGCTCCGCATTCTCAGTCTCCTTCTCATGCAGTCAGTCGCGGTGGAAAGGGGAGAAGGAGGAAGAGGGAGAATTTGGACATCGTGGGGACATGCAGATTGGGTTCTCAGATCTTGGCTTCTCATCTGATCTGATGCCTCATCTCCCAGGTGTCTTCAGACACCCACAGGCCAGATCTCCCAGTGTGGTCCAGGACCACCTGTTCCCACAAGTGGGGCGGCTTGTTAGACATCCCAGGCCCTGCCTCAGAGCTGCTGGGGCCTAGGAACTTCCATTTTAAACCCATTCCCCAGGTGAGTCTGATGTCCACTGAAGTTTGAAAAATTATTCTGCCCTGATTTTGTAAGGTGAAAGGTGAAGGTCCTGGGGCTGCTGGGATGAAAGAGGGAGGAGGAGACTTAGTACAGTTTGGGGACAGTCAGAAGGGGATGGAGTCAGAGCTGGGCAGAAGGCACTGTTTCCTACCAGTTGGGAGATCTCCATGCTTGCTTGTATCCCAGGCACGGCAGTAGGGCAGCCCGGGTAGACCCTGGAGCCTCTGAGGGCTGATATCCCCAGATTGGATGTAGCAGTTGTGTGCTGTTGTCCTCTCCCACCTTTGGTGTTCTTCCAGCCTGTCTTTGGCTGAGTGACCTTGATCAAGTTGCTTAACCCCCCATCACAGTTTCCTCATCTGTAAAATGGGCAGATAGTTTGTATAGTGCTCTGAGCTAGGTGGGTAGCTTAGACTCTAGTAACAGCAGTAGCACGCTAGAGTTATCAAAAAGTTTAATGTGGCACTTCCTACCACCTGGGACCTGAGCACACTTGATGTCCCTTTGGGCATTTGGGCAAAATAACAAATATAGCCCACTTTTAGATTCCGCCATGGCGGATGTTGCTAATCCCTCACGACACTTCTTCCCACTGAGCTTCCGTCACAGAGCACCCCAGTCAGCCGCTATTAATTGGTTGGCGCTGGCACCACAGGTGATGAAGTACATTGGCCACTTGAGTCATGCTGCCAGCCACAGCAGTGCTCTTCTGTCCAAAGGCTGTCGTCTCCTGCTAGTCTTTTGTCCTTTTCTGTTCCTCAACCTTCTGAGTGATCTTGCAGATACTTGTGCCTTTCTTTGTTCATCTCTCCCGGTCCCCAGCCTTGCATGGGGGGGCCTCAGGATCCTGGTCCTGCGCCTTTGTGGTCCGTCAGCTTCCCAGGATCCTCGGGAGAACTCCACGAGGTCAGGGAGCATCGGTCCAAGGCAGGAGGGGCCTTAGTGGTACTTTAGTGTGTTTCCCCAAACGTGGACTGGGAACTGCAGGGACGGTTAAGGGCATTTTAGGGGGCGCCCCCATGGATCATTCACTCACTTTATGAAAAAGTTTGCAGGTTTCTCAATTTTGTTGATTATGTCAAGGAGAAAGAATCATCGAGTGCTAGTATTTTTTTTTTTAACACTTTTCTTACTGTCCAATTTTCTTCAGCATGTACTGCAACAGTGCTCAGCTTGAATTTAATAATATTGGCTTTGTTTTCACGGTATCTTATTTATTTTACTTTTAACAGCTTTACTGAGGTATAATTCATGTACTATACAACTCATCCATTGTAAATGTGATTTGATGATTTTAAATTATAGAGTCATACAATCTTCATAGTCTGTTTTAGAGTTTTCCCTCCCAAAAGTTTCTTTGTGCTTATTTGCAGACAGTCCGTGCCCCTTCCCCCACTCCCAGCCCATCACTGATCTACTTTCTGTCTTTAAAATTTTCCTTTTCTGGCCAGGTGCAGTGGCTCATGCTTGTAATCCCAGCGACTTGGGAGGTTGAGACAGGAGGGTTGCTTGAGCCCAGGAGTTCAAGGACAGCCTGGGCAACATAGTGAGACCCCTCTACAAAAATAAGAAAGATTAGGCCGGGCGTGGTGGCTCACGCCTGTAATCCTAGCTCTCTGAGAGGCTGAGGCGGGCAGATTGTTTGAGCTCAGGAGTTCGAAAGCAGCCTGAGCAAGAGCGAGACCCCGTCTCTACTAAAAAAAATAGAAAGAAATTAATCGAAAAACTAAAAATATATAGAAAAAACTAGCCGGGCATGGTGGCGTATGCCTGTAGTCCCAGCTGCTCTGGAGGCTGAGGCAGGAGGATCGCTTGAGCTCAGGAGTTTGAGGTTGCTGTGAGCTAAGATGACGCCACAGCACTCTAGCCTGGGCAACACAGTGAGACTCTTTGTCTCAAAAAAAAAAGAAAAATTAGCTGTGCCTGGGCATGGTTGCACATGCCCGTACCCCCAGCTGTTTGGGAGGCTGAGGCAGGAGGATCACTTAAGCCTAGGAGTTCAAGTCTACAGTGAGCTGTTACCCTACCATTGTACTTCAGCCTGGGTAACGGAGCGAGATCCCATCTCTAAAAATAAATAAATAAAAATAAAAAATAAAGTAAAAATTTCCTTTTCTGGACATTTCACATAAATGGAATCATACAACACATAGGCTATTTTTGTGTCTGGTGTCTTTCACTTAGCTTGATGTTTTCAAAGTTCATCCATGTTGTAGCATGTGTCTATTTCTCTTATATGGTTATAGTGCATTCTGATTATCTTTCTACCAACGAACATTTGGGTTTGAATAATGCTTCTATGAGCATTCCTGTATAATTTTTTTGTGTGGATATGTATTTTCATTTCTTTTGGCTGTATACCTAAGAGTGGAATTGCTAGATCATATGGTAACTGTGTGTTTAACCTTTTGAGTAACTTGCAAACTTTCCCAAGTTGCTGCACGATTTTACATTAATTCCCACCAACAATGTATCAGGAGTCCAATTTCTCCATATCCTTGGCAACATTTGTCCACCTTTTGATTATAGCCAAGATAGTGTGAGATGGTATCTCACTATGGTAGTGATTTGCATTTCCCTAATGACTGATAATGTTGAGCATTTTTTCAGGTGCTTGTTATCTTGTATATCTTTTGGCTGTGAAATGTCTATTTAAGTCTTTTTTCCAGTTTTTAGAAATTGGATTATCATCTCAGGAAGTTGTAAGAGTTCTTTATTTTGGATATAATTCCTTTATCAGCCATGTGATTTGCAAATATTTTCTACCAGTCTGGCTTGTCTTTTAATTTTCTTAATGGTGTCTCTTTTGAAGAGCAGAAGTTTTTAATTTTTAATTTTTTTTTTTTTTTTTTGAGACAGAGTCTCACTGTGTTTCCTGGGATAGAGTGCTGTGGCGTCATCCTAGCTCACAGCAACCTCAAACTCCTGGGCTCAAGCGATCCTACTGCCTCAGCCTCCCGAGTAGCTGGGACAACAGGCATGTGCCACCATGCGCAGCTGATTTTTTCTATATATTTTTAGTTGTCCGATTAATTTCTTTCTATTTTTAGTAGAGACGGGGTCTCGCTCTTGCTCAGACTGGTCTCCAACTCCTGAGCTCAAACAATCCACCCGCCTGGCCTCCCAAAGTGCTAGGATTACAGGCGTGAGCCGCCGCACCCGGCCAGAAGTTTTTTATTTTGATGAAATCTAATTTATTACTTTTTAAAATGCATAATGTTTTTGGAGTTATGTTTAAGAAATCGTTGCCTAACCCCAGCTCATAAAGACTTTCTCCTTATTTTTTCCCCCAGAAGTTTTATCGTTTTTGCTCTTATATTTAGATCCATTTTGAATTAATGTTTTTCATGTATAGTAACAATCTAAGGTCATTTTTTTGCATATGGAATTCAGTTATTTGAGCATCATTTGCCATAAAGACCATCCTCGTCCCATCAAATTGCATTTGCATTTTTGTCAAAAATCAGTTGACCGTAAGTGTGAGGGTTTATTTTGGAATTCTCTATTCTGCTTCATTGATTTGTATGTCTATCCCAGTGGTTTTCAACTGGGGTGATTTTTGTCCCCCAGGGGACATTTGGCCATGTCTGGAGACATTTTTGATTGTCACAACTGGGGGTATATATTTGTATAACTGGCATTTA